TTAAAAAAAAAAAAAAGAAAACTATTTTTTTTTGGAGCTGAGGATCGAACCCAGGGCCTTGTGCTTGCTAGGCAAGTGCTCTACCACTGAGCTAAATCCCCAATCCCAAGAAAACTATTTTCTAACTTTAAAATATTACTTACTGTGCATTTTCCTGGTATTTCTGGGTAACATAATGTTCTCTTTGCAAAATTTGTAAAAATCTGTTACGTGCTACATGGCTTCTAGCAATGCACTTATGCATATCTTGTGACTTTACATTAAATGTTTCTGCAAAACGTTGAGAATCTATATGGAAGACAAGATCAAACAGCATCACCATGAGCTCATCTTTCCAGTAAGACAAATAGGAAAAATAAAATAAAATAAAATAAAACCTGTGCCATTTTTTAACCAACTCTTCACTCTGATACTGAAGACCAATGAAGAACTAATACAAACATATCAGAGGTCAGGTATTTATCTGTAAATCCTACTGAAAAGACAGATCAACGATAAAGATAAGGATATTCTCCCAGGCAGGGTCTGCACATTGCACTTAAAACAACTTACCCTAGGACAGGCATTGGTGGCACACACTTTAATCCCAGCACTCAGGAGGCAGAGCCAGATCTCTGTGAGTTCAAGGCCAGCCTGGTCTACAGAGCGAGATCCAGGACAGGCTCCAAACCTAACCAGAGTAACCCTATCTGGGGGTGGGGGGACGACACAACTTACCCTAGCTGGGTGGTGGTGACACACACCTTTAATGCCAGCACTAAAGAGGCAGAGGCAGGTGGATCTCTTTGAGTTGAGGCCAGCCTGGTCTACAACCTGAGTTCCAGGGCAGCCAGGATTGTTACACAGAGAAACCCTGTCTGGAAAAAAACAACAAACAAACAAATAAAAAAAAAAGTATCCACATCCCAGCATGCTGCACAGAAACCTCCACAATGTCTTAGTACTTGAAGGAAACTAGTTCACTGAATTCAGAAGTCACCCAGACATTGAAACTCTCACTAAAATTACTTTAAATAAGAAGTTATGTTCAAAAGCCAAATACAAAATAAATTCTTATTAAATCCAAATACTTAGCTAGGCATGGTGGTGCACACCTATGATCCCAGGAGTTTGGAGGTATAGACAGGAAGATCAGAATATCAAGGTCAGCCTTGGCCACAGAGTGAGAATAGGGCCAACCAGGGTTACTCCAAAGCAATGAAAAATCCCAACATACTTATTTTATATAAAATAGCTTGGATTACATGTAATTGGGATAAATCATCTATTTACAGAAAAATTGACACAATGTTAATGTTGTATTAAATTGAAAATATGTAAGTATTTATAAAGCATGATCACAGATATTTGAAAACATGCCTAGAAAGAGCAGGTAAACCGGAAGGTGGTGGCGTACACCTTTAATCCCAGCACTTGACTTGGGAGGCAAAGGTAGGCAGATCTCAGTGAGTTTGGGGCCAGCCTGGTGTACAACTCGAGTTCTAGGAGTCAGGACTGTTAAAAAAAAGAAACCCTGTCTCAAAAATCAAAAAAAAAAAAAAAAAA